CAAGGGTACGCTGGAGGGGTGTTCGGGGTCTGTCCTGGAGGCAAGTCTATCCAGAGTGTGTGGCCCTGAGCAGGTTCGTGTCGGGGGTTACAATTGTGATCCATGCGGGAGGTAATGATTTAGGGAGGGTTAGATCGGTGGATCTGATGCACTCTGTCAAGCACGACTTGGCCCGGTGTTTGGCACTATTCTCAGACTGTACTCTGATTTGGTCTGAGATTGTTCCCCGTCCTGGCTGGCAGGTCTTGTCGCATGCCAAGGGCCTGGAGCAGAGCAGGCGCAAGCTCAACATGACGATCTCTCGGTTTGTGCGGCGGCTTGGTGGTGTGGCGGTTCAGCATGTGGAGCTGGAGGGGGACAATCGGAATTTATGAGGGCGGACGAACCAAATAGGATTGGACATTTTTAATGCGGGTCTGCAGTCGGGTATAGAAAAGGCGCTGGCTGCGGGGGGTGCGATGCCGGGTAAAGAGAAGGAGGGCCGGCATCGCGGTGGCAGAGTTCCTGTCCAGCGCACGTAATGCACGGAAAGGATTTGGGGAGTCGCAGCCTGCTAGGGCTGATGGCCGAAGGCAGGCTGTACGAACTCTGGATAAAGACTTGGAGTATCTGTCTTTTGGGTAGTCACCCCAACAGCTGACAGGTGGAAATGCTGGCTGTGTAAAAGTTTAATAAAGCTGTGGCCGTTGCCCTTACCCAACAATCAGGTGTCATGTCGTTATTGGGGGTAACGGTTTTGGTATTTGGGGTCAGCAGTCAAGATATCCCCTGGACTGCAAGGAAGGGGAGGCATGACTGCTGCCCTGCAGTAAGGGGTGGGAATATAAAAGATACAATGTTGCCTATATAGTGGGATATAAGAGGGAGAGCAGGGGGGTGGGACTCACCAGTGCAGAAGGAGCAGTCTGGAACAGTTTCCCGCCCTCCCCCAAAAAATTTCCCATGCTATGTGATGGTTTGGCTTGTGGTGTTGTTTGTTTCTGTTCTTGTTTTGTCACAGCTATGGCGGAGTTCCTGGCCAGCGCACGTAATGCACGGAAAGGATTTGGGGAGTCGCAGCCTGCTAGGGCTGATGGCCGAAGGCAGGCTGTACGAACTCTGGATAAAGACTTGGAGTATCTGTCTGTTGGGTAGTCACCCCAACAGCTGACAGGTGGAAATGCTGGCTGTGTAAAAGTTTAATAAAGCTGTGGCCGTTGCCCTTACCCAACAATCAGGTGTCATGTCGTTATTGGGGGTAACGGTTTTGGTATTTGGGGTCAGCAGTCAAGTTTTTATAGTAAGAAAGCCTTGTGTTGACTCATCCTGTATACAATAAGTAATATACTCCCTCTGGATTTAAGACGTCATGCCTGAGTGTATAATTTATTGAGTAGACACCCACAGCATTACGTTCACTGATTAAGTGCCAGCCCACACTTTGGGACAAAACATTAAACTTTCAGCTACAACAAAGTATTGATATAATTATAGTTCAGTAAATCTCATGACATGAGAGATTTATTATGGTATACTGATACTACATTAAATTACTTTTTTTTCCCCATGTACAGAGTAAATAAAAATACATACATACATACATACATACACAACCCATGGCTACCCGAATACACAGACTCTCAAGAATGCAGAAAACATAATTTGTCATTTATAAGAAATGAAATGTGCAAAAATCTTTGTTAAAGATACAGTATAGTCACCCAGACCACTTTAGTGCCCCAGTCTCGTTAAGCCCTGCAATGTAAAACATTGCAGTTTTTAAAAAATTCACAAAAATGACATTGCAGGGGATGGAGCAGACCAGACATGTGCTGCATGAGCTCCTGTGTCTGGCACATCAAACTCGACGGCAAAACTGAATTAAAAACCTGCAGAGCTGCAAAACCTTGCTTGTTCCTGACATGCCGGTGCTCACGGGGATACCTCTCGCGGGCCTCTCCTCCGCTGGAAAATCCAACTTAAGGCTTTGCGGCCTACCAGTAACTGGGCCAGGGAGAGATGGCCACTCTCCCACAGCCCTAACTGGAGGTGACACTCGACTAAAGAGGTTCCCCCCCCCCCCGTTGGACCGGTGGGGGTCATCCCTCTCCTACCCGGCAAGTGCAGAGTACGCATGCGCCGGACACCTACCGCATGGAGCAACAGGCTGACTCAGACCATCAGCAGCCAAGATCCCCTGGGATGCCCAAGATGGTGGACACACACGCCTCGCACACAGCAACGAGCCAAGTGGAGCGAACACTCCAACGCATTGACAAGCTATTTGCCCAATTCTGGGCCCAGCTGGAGAAGCGAGCGCAACCCACATAGCGACCAAGTCAAGGGGGAACCCAGAGAAACCCAAACCACCAAGTCCAGGAACGGCTCACGCAAGTCGAGGACCACCGGGGTGCATACCCCACAGCAAACACCACAAGGGCAAAAAAAAATCCGCTGCAAGCAACGAACACGCAACAGGACCCTCCACCACTCACGTGGCAAACAGGACTTGGACCTTCTGGGACATAGGGTCTGGAGCCCGAAGTCGCCAGTCCTTGATCCGGTCTGAAGTCAACAAGAGGGTGAGTGCTGCCCCTACCGCACCTCGACCCTGGAGAAGCCAAAAGCCCGCAGCAAAAGCATACCTGAAATGGGCATCGGCTAAATCAAACACCGGACTGCTTACTTGGGGCGGATGGCCGCCGGCTGGACTGGACACTGAGAGCCAAACAGCGCATATAGAACTCAGTGATCGCCCTGTGACGGAACGCTGGCACTCTGACTGAGTACCTCCGCCAATCGATGCTCCTGGTGCTCGCTGAGGACTCCAAGCACTCCAACCGACACCATCAGCACTGCAGACCCCACTTCCAGCGATGCAACTGCGCCAGGGTCTCTGCTGTCTCCACCCATCCTGGACCCAAGGCCAGGATCCAGCTTCCAGTGGGTGAACCTCTCTTTCCCCAGAGAGCAGGAACAGGAACAAGCTCTTAGCAGAACTTTGTGATCATACCCTGGGGAGTATAGTCATTATAGCAATCCCCAGAGTGTATTTCTCCAATTCCCCAAACATGAGCAAAAGCTTAATGCTGGAACAAGACTGATTTACTGGCACACAGAACTCACAATTTATGCAACACAAAACTCCTCCTCTGGGCCAGGCTAGATAATTGAGTTTCTACAATACACAAAGCTCAATTATCTGCTGGCCAGAAACAATACAGTTTCATAAAACACATCACAGGGACCCCAAAACATGCAATAACCCCATAAATATCCTCGAAACTGGGGGATCTGGGTGAACCACATATCCAAAATTCACCCAGATCCGTTCAGTAGTTTGGAAGATGCAGTTTAATGCAGATTCCGCAGAACATATACAGGCTATATGAAAAATAATTACTGTATAATGTGTCCCCTGTTGTATAGTTTAAAACTACTGCACGATGTCTTTGTGCACCAAATACCGGTGAGATGGCACCATGTAGAAAAGTCCAAACAGTGTATGTGAGTTAAAATGGCCACCATCCATTGTTCTCACAATGTGCTTCATCCATTGTCCTCACCATAACTCCACAGTATGTCCCCAGATGATTCTTAAAGGGCCAGCAGCAGCATAATAAAATACAATATGCCCAAATACTGTATTTAAAGGGCCAAATCTCCCAGGGACCATAGTCAGCAGGCAGGAGGTGGGCAAACAGGCTTCTCCAGTGCCCAGTGGCGAGGTTGGTTTCGCCACAAATATGAATTGAGTATTCCACCTTAAATCCAGTAAACAGAGACTGTACACCTGCCGGAAGGAAGGAGGTTGAGGCCTGATGAGTGTTAAGGCCACTGTTCTGTATATCATTGGAACTGGGGGATCTGGGTGAACCACATATCCAAAATTCACCCAGATCCGTTCAGTACTTTGGAAAATACAGTTTAATGCAGATTCTGCAGAACATATACAGGCTAAATGAAAAACAATCACTGTATAATGTGTCCCCTGCTGTATAGTCCAAAACCACTGCACGATGTCTCTGTGGACCAAATACTGGCGAGATGGCACCGTGTTGAAAAGTCCAAACATTGTCTGTGAGTTAAAATGGCCGCCATCCATTGTTCTCACCATGTGCTTCTGATACAGGAAACGGTGGCCACCCAGTAACTCCACAGTATGTCCCCAGATGGTTCTTAAAGGGCCAGCAGCAGCACAACACAAATCCATTATGCCCAAATCATGTCTTTAAAGGGCAATACATCCCAGGGGCCATAGTCACAGGGCAAGAGGCGGGCAAGCAGTCCTCTCCAGGCACAAGTGGCGAAGGGCACTTCGTCACACATCTTCCCTTTGGGGGGAAGACTAAACAGGTACCTGACCTTCTGCCGGTCAGTACCTAGATTAGTCGGGCAGCCCACCCACAAAGAAAAATACGCAGAGTAACCCCCCCACAATAAATGGTACTGGCCTGTAGGTTCAAGTTTGTAGTGGGACAGCGCAGCACTCTTGGTCTCCCTGGTGCAGCTAGGCAAACTGCTGGTGTTGCTTGGGGGGCAGAGGCCAGCGGCGCTCTGCCCTGCTGCCAGCTCTTCCACTGGGGTAACCCGTGGTAAGTCAGGCTCTGATACAGGGGAAAGGGGGGGCAGAGGCTAACAGAGCTCTGCCCAGATGCCAGCTCTTCTGCTGGGAGGGGGTCAGTGGGTATCGCAGGCTCGTCCACTGCCCCCAGGACCCGGTTGGGATGTAGCTGGGGAGGGGAAGTTTCACTTACCTCCTCCTCCTGGCATCCCTGCGGAGTTGGTTGGGGATCTGGACCATCCGTCCAGCCTCCCTGTAGGACTGGCACAGAGACCGCGGTCCCATCTGCGCCAGTGTGGTTAGGTTTGTCTTCCCCCTCTCCCGGTATCTCTGGCTGCTGTTGGAGGGGGAGGCTGGTTGCCCCCACTCCCCAGGACGCTGGTTGCTGTAAGGTGGAGGGATCGACCATCACCTCCTCCTGGAACTCAGGCCGCCGCTGGGGAGAGAGAGACCAGTTGTCTCCTCTCACTGTATATTATACTGCCGCTGGGGACCTGGGCTGACTGCCCAGCATCCCTGTAGGGCTGGCAGAGAGACTTCGGTCCCATCTCCGCTTGCCATCTCTCTGTGTCCCCAGGACAAGTCTATGAGGTCGCCCACCTCCGGCTGCTGTTGGAGAGGGAGGCCGGTTGCCTCCCCTCCCCAGGACGCTGGTTGCTGTACGGGGGAGGGATCTACCATCACCTCCTCCTGGAACTCAGGCCGCTGCTGGGGAGAGAGACCGGTTGTCTCTTCCCTCTGTACGGTGCACTGCCGCTGGGAAGGGAGGTCGCTGCTCTCCTCTCCCTGTAACTCACTCTGTCGCTGGAGACGGGGTGTCAATACCCCCAAACTCCACAGTTGGTACTCGTAGTTCCGTGCGTCTTGGTTCTCAGCACTCAACAGGCGCATCACTTGATGGACCACCTCATCTGAAGGGTTTGGGCCAAACCAGACCAGCCGCGCCTTTACTTCCTTCATGAAATCAGCACCCTCATAGCACTGTGACAGGCGGATTTGCAATTCAATGGCTGCTGTCCAGGGTCTTGCTAGCTCCATGTTGCTGTAGGTAGGGACGCTGCGCAGAGGCTAGTGTTGCCCTCAATTATAAATCCGTAACTCCACACGTTACCGGTGTCTCCGAGCTGCTGGTCCTCGCACTAGGACGCCATCCCACCGCTTGCCACCAGTTGTGACGGAACGCTGGCACTCCGACTGAGTACCTCCGCCAATCGATGCTCCTAGTGCTCGCTGAGGACTCCAAGCACTCCAACCGACACCATCAGCACTGCAGACCCCACTTCCAGCGATGCAACTGCGCCGGGGTCTCTGCTGTCTCCACCCACCCTGGACCCAAGACCAATCCCCAGAGTGTATTTCTCCAATCCCCCAAACATGAGCCAAAACTTAATGCTGGAACAAGACTGATTTACTGGCACACAGAACTCACAATTTATGCAACACAAAACTCCTCCTCTTGGCCAGGCTAGATAATTGAGTTTCTACAATACACAAAGCTCAATTATCTGCTGGCCAGAAATAATACAGTTTCATAAAACGCATCACAGGGATCCCAAAACATGCATAAAAAGTATATCCTTGGAACTGGGGGATCTGGGTGAACAACATATCCAAAATTCACCCAGATCCGTTCAGTACTTTGGAAAATACAGTTTAATGCAGATTCTGCAGAACATATACAGGCTAAATAAAAAACAATCACTGTATAATGTGTCCCCTGCTGTATAGTCCAAAACCACCGCACGATGTCTCTGTGCAACAAATACTGGCGAGATGGCACCGTGTTGAAAAGTCCAAACAGTGTCTGTGAGTTAAAATGGCCACCATCCATTGTTCTCACCATGTGCCTCTGATACAGGAAATGGTGGACACCCAGTAACTCCACAGTATGTCCCCAGATGGTTCTTAAAGGGCCAGCAGCAGCACAACACAAATCCATTATGCCCAAATCATGTCTTTAAAGGGCAATACATCCAAGGGGCCATAGTCACAGGGCAAGAGGCGGGCAAGCAGTCCTCTCCAGGCACAAGTGGCGAAGGGCACTTTGTCACACGCCCCCCCTGTTACCTCCTATGTGCTGTGCAGTATTCCAGCAACCCTTTACTGTGTTGCTTAAATGTGTATTAACGGTTAGTCAGACACACTGCAACCCTAGGCATCTTCCCACGTACTGATGCAGCCTCAGAATAAATGCCTAGACCCACTGTTTAGCATCAGTACTATGCCTTTGCAAATAAGCACTTGCCTCCTAAAACAGATACCCCAGCAAAAGTATTCTAGCATTGTTAGACATCGACTGTATAAATACACTCTGACAATATAACTATCTGGTATAGCTTGCTATATAAATAATGAAAAATGTACCTTCCTAGCCTGTTAATTTGATAGGAAGACGTACCAACCCAGCATGTTACCAGTCATGTCAATCCACTCATTGTACTCAAGATTTTTGCTATTGTATATCGCTTTAATTAACAACTTGACATAATCTACATTATTTTAACGTATAAAAATGTGCAGACAATCCTACTGCTTCAATTGTTACGCTTGAAAATGTGCTCGAGGAATGCTGTTGGGGCACCAAGAGCTTGTATGTTATGCCATTCAAAGCACAATAAAAATACAGAATAAAAAAAATAAAAAATTTACATTGCAGGATTAAGACTGCCGCTAGTGGCTGTCAATGAGACAGCCACTAGATGCACTTCCTGGTGGTTAGGCAGCATTTAGTCACCAAAAAACAGCGTCAGTTAAATCGCAACAGGGAAGCATTGAAGCAATGCTTTCCTATGAGAAGGGCATAATGCACTCGCAACACTAGCCCTCTGTGGGTGCTGAGACTAAGATGATCAACCGCTCCCCCAAATAATTTGTAAAAGCCCCCAGATCAGTCTGCAGGCATGACAGCCAATCTGACCAAGTCTTGCTTTACAAGTGAAAGCTTTGTGAAAGGGAGAAAGAAACTGCATAAACGGTTCAGAAAGATTCCACTTTTAGATTCAGTCCAAAATGGATGGGGCATGAGATGCTCTCAGAAGGTGTATTTAGCAGGGATTACTTAAACTTGGACTGATATAGGAAGCAAATAAAATAGTACTGTAGAAGAAGAAAGACAAAGGAATTCCCTGTTATAAGTTTAATGAAGACAGTGTCCATCTCGAATATCTTTCAACTACTGGGCATAGGAGAGGAATAATGTATAGTTAGAGTATCCCACTAAACATGGAAAGGTGTTTTATAAAGATTATCTGAAATCAAAGTTATTCAAATGTAGACAATGGTCTGTGCCCACGGGAAACATTTGGGATATACTCTAGAAAGCAGAATTGCATGGTAATAACGCTCTAGTTTCAGTAATTCTAAACTCCCTATAGATTTACGATGTGTTAACAAAGAATATGCTGCTAAGAGATGCCAATCCAGTGCCTTAGATGGAATGATTAAATTAATTCTAGTGGACAGGTAGTTGTGGATACCAATGTCTGAAAGGGTCTAGTCAAATAAATTGTACAGGTCACGTTAATATTTGTGTAAAGCCTTTCTAATATCTGCATGACGATAATAACTCTTCCCTTGGGGTGTCTTAATTATGGCAATAAAAGTAGTTTGCTAGCATGAACCAGAATATGCCCAAACTTGCCTCTGCCACCCCTCCCCACGGCATAATAAGAACCCTTAGTTAATAAACATTTAAGCTTAGCTTCCATATTAAGTTACATTTGTAATTCTGCACATGTTTCTGCCAATTACATGTAAAAGTAAGTGATTCAGTTTCTGAGTGTCCTCCAGACCCTGATTCTCCTGCTATTTACTGCTTGCAAAGTTTATGGCCAGTATCTATGCTAATCACAAACTTAAGTATCTATTTATGGGCCCTCCAAACCATAGAGGGAGACATGTCCAGTGAGATATTATTGAGTGGAGTTATGAATTAGTTAAACAGTATTAGTGCCATTAAGCAATAAGACAATGAGACACCACTGTGGTTGTCAAGGATGCAGAGTCAGTGCAGAAATTCAGGGGTGCATGATGAGACCATTGTCAGGGCTTACCTGGGTTGGGAGTCCGGCAGGCAGAGATATATGCTCACCCTTGCAAGTAACCACATGCCGAGGTGGTCAGATGAGGATTCACCTGGCCTGTGAGTCAGTGCACGGGGGCTGCGCAGGGTAAACTCCAAGTCGCGGTACAGGAACGGATAAAGCAGGAGGATAGTCGTGGGAATCCGGAGGTCAGACCACGTCTCGCTGTCTGTATGTTGTGGTGATAACCATGACAACCATGTAGTAGAATTATCTTTTCTAAATAGCAAAGGTTGTAGGAAAAACATGTCTAGCCTTGAGTACATGTTAGAGGAGAAGCATCAAAGGTAATATTGCAGTCACCTCCAAATAAGATAACACCCGCAGTAAAGTGTTCAAGCATAAAAAAGCAAACCCTGTTTCCTATCAAGTCAGGGTCAGCATATCCAGGTGATATGCCTGAGGGGCACATTCTCCGGTTGAACACAGCACTCCCCTCCTGCCATTAACTACATGTGTAGTGTGGCTGCATGGACCACAGAAAGTGCTCACTGAGAGCAATGATCCTACCAGACCAGGGAGAGGATACTTAAGGGGCCTTGTCTCCTATCGAGTCAGGCGCATTGGCCAAGGAGGTAAGGAGCCACAGGAAGGGAAAGGTAGAGTGGAAGAGACACACAAAGGGGGCTAAGGGCTTGTTTTGTGGACGGTGACTTTCCTGCAGCTGTTTGGGAAGTATGAAACTCATGATGGTTCCCTATATCTGTAAATGAGCCCTTAATTCATTGGGAAATGTCTCGTTCAGTTGGAGCATTATCAGACCCATGTGGCTCAGCTACTATCCACACCCCTTAAATGCAATTATTGTACCAAAATCTTTATCAATATTTAATTAAAAATTTAATTTCATTACCCTATTCATCTGTTTTATAACTCGCCACATAACCAACACATGAGTTAATCTCTATTTTTCTTGCCTGATGCACGATGATCAAGTTTCAGATCAAAGGGACACTCTAATTCTGTAATCAGTGGAGTTGTTATGTTGCCTGGAATCCCAGTGTGTTGTTTTCTGTATTTTTCCAAACTATTTAGAAGCTATTTCACAACACCTGGGGCTTTACATGGCTCTCCTCCTTAGCTGCATTAAACAATTTGGAATTTACACTTCTACATTAAAAATATTCATTCTGACAACCTCAACCACCAGCAGCTTGTACTAATTTAAAAATAGCTTCATGAAAAAAATTTTTTTTCCATTCACTTTAAAATATTTTATATTAGAATAATGTAGATTATTCTAAGATGTTTATTAAGTGTCTAGTTTTGGAAAAGATCCATCTTGCTCCACCCAGGGTGCATGGAGCTACTTGATGCTCATTAATTGTACAAGAGAGAGAACGAGGACACAAGATCTAGAAGAAGTCCAGCATGGATAGTTCTGGCCTTGGATCACTGATCATCATACTCATTACCTGCCTCTTCATCTACATCACATGGAATGCAACCTACAGGAACCGTAACCTTCCTCCTGGTCCGACTCCCCTACCGCTGATAGGAAATCTACTTCAGATCAAGTGGGGACAGCTGGCAAATTCTCTAATGAAGGTTTGAATTTCAAATATTTTCTAGATTCACTTTTATCAATATATTCTCTGTTAATAGATTTTGTTAATCATGTATTATTGCATTTATTTAGATTAAATAATTATTAAACAATCACACATTAGTGTAAAGTGACCTAATGACAGTGACATATTTAATGGGTTAAAGAGACAGTCCCATATAGGAGCACAGTGACCTAATGACAGTGACATGTTTAATGGGTTAAAGAGACAGTCCCATGTAGGAGCAAAGTGATCTAATGACAGTGAC